TCACAACATTTTATTAATGTTTTATGCACATATTTTGTTTATATGCAGCTACTGTTCAAAGGTATTTGACAATAGTAGTCCTGGTAAGTTCAAAATGGCAACTTCTGAGTCTGAGAGTGTTTACTCACACACAGCTACACAGCTCTTTCTACACATAAATACCACCTCCACCCCCTAAAATATATTCCAGTTACCATTGATGGTGTCTTTATCAGTGTCTTTACCAGCTGTCATTGCATCCATCATTATTCACAAGAGAGTTAATAAAAGGTTTAGAGTTGATTCCAGATGTGACATTCATCAATAGAGTCTGGCTGCAGACATGCACTCTCAGACAGATGCAGTCTCAGCCTCAGTGACGTCACATGCACATGCACTCTCTGCCACAATGGCTGAAGCAGCTCATTCGTACTCTGACTTCTGGCTGCTTCTGCTTAGCGATATCATCACTCAATCCATTTTTTGTCCATAACACAGCTATAGCATATTTAATTACTATATTATTGGTACGACAACGTTAATATATGTTCAGAGTAACTCTTGTTGGCCAACAGTATGTGGTTCACTGTTTTTACTCATAAAACTGACAAAAAGCAGAGCGTGCACTGAGGTCATTAACAGGCTGGCGGTGCATGTCAGGCTGAGGGTGCATGTCTGCAGTAAGACCCTTCTCACATTTACATGTGAAGTCTGTTGCTGTTGCTCAATATGAAGATCACATAAGTAACACAGGCCACAGTAGTGGATAAATAGTGAGTACATTCAATCATGGAAAAAAAAAATGTTGAACAGATTGTAGGCAGATATGTGTCAAAGATTTCTAGAAAAGAAAAGAGAAGTACACAAGCCTGTTACAGATGTTTTACCTCAAAACACAAACAGCTGGTAAACCTCAACAGAAAGGCCAGGTTAATGTTTGTTTTGGAAAAAAAAAAGCCTGTAGAGTTCTGTCACAAAGTCCTATATACAAATGAGACAAAGATTATCCTGTACCTGAATAATCGAAAGAGGAAATTTTGGAGAAAAAAAGGAACTGCTCGTGATTCAAAGCAAACCACCTCATCTGTGAAACAAGGTGGCGTTGGCATGTAATGTCATTTGTCTTCATTGATGATGTCACTAATACTGGCTGCAGCGGTACGATGAATTCTGAAGTGAACAGCATTTTTTCAGCTCCTCCAGTGCAGCCAACAGATCGAGCCCCAACACTTGACCCAAAGCAGTTCTGCAGTTTTTCAGGGCCAAAAAGTGAAATGCTCTTCACTGGCCAAGTCAGTCACCCGACCTAAATGCCACTGAGTAGCATTTCACTTGCTGAAGAGAAGTCTGGAGGCAAAAAAAAGTCGCTGAAAAAAGCAGGAAAACCAAGATACTGAGATGGTAAAGGATTTGCAACCAAATACTGAACATGACCATTTTATTTAAAAAATATGTTGATCTGACTTTTTACTGTATGAAAAATCCTATATAGTTTATCAAATATTGATGTTCTTGATTAGAAGCTGACATTCTGCTACTTATAGTCATTAATTTTTTTTTTGTATGCAGGAGTGCCAAGCAAAAACAATACATTATTGGTTTATAACTATTCCTAGCAGTGAATGCTATGGGTGTGTAAATGTTAAAATTGAGTGTAATCCAAATTGTGTAGTCATTCACACAATACCACACAAAACCACAGTATTTCATTTACATTTTGCATGTAAAACCATGTAAAAGTATTTATATAGCAAAAGTGTATATCTTGAGAAAGCAATGAGTATACTTCATAGATATGGTGACCATGTTTTTTTTAAACTGCACAGATGGTATGTGACTGCTCCTTATCTTGACTTCTTGTGAAATGTTTAGGTGCAGAAAAACTTACATACTGCTTCTACTAGATGAGTATCATTGGGATTTTATCGGTATTGATATTGAAACTGAAGCTGCTTATCGATATTTAACTTATTGATACTCTTATTGATACTACCTTCCATAATTTTGTTGCAAAAAAAACAGACATGTCATGAAAAGACGTGAAAATTCAAAATGAAAAGATGTAAAAGAGCTGTGGTCATTTCCCTACATTTAAAAACATTAACAACCATAAGCAATACAAAATTAGTTTCCCCAGTTTTCAGGACAGCTCACCCTAGGTTCAAACTCCTCGCAGTTAGCAATTTTCTGCTATGCTAACTTTTGGCTTGCGAATTTTAAGTAATTAATATTACCTCTTCCCTTGGAAAAGTTGATTTAGGCTATCAAAATATCCTAATTATTCTTTTAATGCTGGTAACATTTTCTGGACTTTCATGGACTTTCAGACCATCAAACTATCCTACCTGTATTTTTAATACAAGGCTGAAATTGGCTTCTTATTGGCCACCTTCTTATTCAGATTTTTCCATTTTATCTTAAATGGTGCAGCAGTTATTATAACGCCTGCAGACCTGACAACCTGTACGAATTTAGCATAGCAGGTACGCATTTAACATGAAAGTACAGTTGTGCACCTGCAGTACTCAAATCGAACAGCAAGAGGCAGCAGTGTCTAGCCTTCCGAAAAAAATAAGGAAGAAGAGTTTGACCAATCATAGCATTCGGTTAATTCCCCCAAATATCGAGCGGGGTTGACAGATGCATAATGTCAGTCATTTGAATAGGCTGCAAATCAACAGCAACACGAAATAGTTTTTATCCCTCTTGTTCGCCCTCCTCACTCCGTCGTGCTAGTTCTACAAGTGAGGATGGTGCATTTAACTTCTTTCCTAAGGTAAACAAGCTGGTTTGGATGTGGAAAGTTGAAATTGTGAATTTAGTTAAAATTAATGCACACCTGCCAACATTAAGCTAACATTATTTACGTTAAATAATGTCACGTAATTTGCAAGCTACCACGCATTTCAGTTGGCCATGTGTCGCAGTACGGTATGGTATGGTATTCATAGTTATTATTGCAGCCAAACCTGTAATTGTAATGAGCAGCTCATGGCAGGTTGAGAAAAGCGACCGCATGTGCCGCAGAAATAACATTATCTACTAAAATGTGAAAGATTTTGATGCAATGTTTTCAGATCAAAACTACACACACTGGATGCGATGTGCCTCATGTCCATTCTGGAAAAGTGAATGTAGCATGAAGATCTTCGTCACTTTATTCAGAAGCTGAAACAGCTGAGTGCTTGCACACAGGATATAATTTAGTTCATAGTTCAGTTTGAGCTCCATTTGAGCAGCTTTTGGATATTCTGAACGTTTTAGCATTTTTTGCGAAAAGGTTCTATAACCTGGAACACAGCTGCCCTATCATCTTGGTTGTTGTCATGCCAACAGCAGAGGCGACTGTGACTTTTTGACACTGGAGAAAGTTTACAAAAATCTGAATAAAGTAATGTTGCATTTTTACCATCCAAATAAACACGTGTTTGGCATGTGTTTATACACGTGCTAAAATTAATTTACTGTCATCCAGAAAATCACGTTCAGTGTGTAAAGGCCTTGACGGTGGAGAGAGAGAGCGTCAGACCCTGTTGGATAACTAAATTTGATTACATGGCTGTGAGTGGGGAAATGACCAAGGTTTTTTTTTTATAGCTATTGGGCTGCACAGTATGTTTTCCTAAGGTTGGCAGGTGTGTCTCAGATGCCAGCATGTAGCTGCTTCACCATCTAAAGTGGAAAGAAATTTAATAAGAAGCTGGCAAATAAGAAGCTGACATCAGCTTTGTAGTTTTAATGCTGGTAGTGGTTTTGATTAGGTGATTTAAACTATCAAAATATCCTGCCTAGTGTTTAGGGAACTACCTATAAATATGCACTACAGTAGGACATATCAACAAGGTAGCACAATTCATCACAACACTGGGAGGTTGCACTGAAGACATAAGTGCAACAGCTGCTTTGCTAAAGCAAACACACTGTACTGCTTTAGATTCATAGAATGTTGTAGTTGTGTTTCATGAGATTGCTGGTGTTACCCCCCTTTTACATGCGACTACCATTTTACATATTGCATTTAACTGCATTAACATTAAATTTGTAAAGCAAACCCACACTTTTAAGTGTCTTAGCCTTTTAGCCATGACTGGAGCACAGATGATTCTCAGCATACTTGATGGTTAACGTAGTCAAAGGCTTGCGAATGCTTTCGTCACACGGAGCAGAGCAATCCTCATGCTGATCCAATGTCCATCAATCATTTGAAAATACCAGCTATGTAGAATGCATTAATGATACATAATTATCAGTAGCAGCACTATTTGTCCAAGAACTTGTCGATATTTTGGTATTGACCAGTCAGAAATGGGTACCAATTTAGTACCAATTCTTGATACCTACACATCAGAAAGCAAAGATTATGGTAAATGAAAGAACCTTTTAGAGTGAAGATGAAAATGCTTTATTTTTATACATTCTGGTCAAAGAAGCTTGATGTATGTCATGAGAAAAAGTGTTTTTAATCTACAAGTGACACTGATACTTTCATGAAAGTCACCTCTCCTTCATTTTGCGCTCATTCTGAAAACTTTTCAGGGTTTTGTAATACATCTTGTTCCACAAAATAGCATTAAAACATTAAAAAAATGATGAACACAGTACTATATTCAGATCTTTCTCCCTTAGTTCTTAAAAAAAAAAACCAGTCCCTAAGTTGAGATAATTTTCTGGTTTAAGGCACGAAGGCCTTGGTTCATCTGAATGGCCCCTCTTAATTTATTTGTGTGTATTGCAGTGATTGCATGCTTGCAATAACTACAAGAAATTTTCAGTTAAGCTTTAAACATTAAAACAATAAATGTATTCATAATAATCTGAAATGATATTGCCTTTAAAATCTCATTTTAACTCTGTATTCCTGTTGTTTTTTTCTGCCGCGTATTAGCATTGTAAACGATGGAACGTGTAATTATGGCCGCTTTAAAAACAAAAGGTCAGGTTTTCTTGGTCACGCACAAAAGACAAGCAAAATGAATATTTATGAAAAGCCCTCCATTTAGCTTCTTACTCTCCTTTTTTAGGGAACAGAGGAGTAGTGGCCAAAAAGGAAGAAACAGTGGAGTGGTGTAAGAGAAGAGAGTGAGAGAGAAGGTGAAAGAGAGAGTGACGAGAGAGATGGATTCGCTACCAATGGAGTCAGCCACGGTAGATGAGTTGGTGGACGCCTGCATCCAAGCTTTTGGTCAGTCTGTACAATGATCCCAAATTTTTTCAAAACTTTTCAGTCTAATCTACGCTGCTTTAGTTATTCATTGTTAGCATTTGTTTTTCCTCTCCAAGATAATGTCTGTTGGTTGTTTTGTTTTTACTGACTTTTTTATTTGAAACCTTCTACTTTTGCTCCTTCAGACAGTCAAAGGCTATTAATTAATGCCATATTTCTCTGGTGTGCTGTGTGCTTTTCTCTAGATGTTACAGGGAAATTAAAAGACCCGTCTTTAGTCCGGATGTTTCTGATGATGCACCCCTGGTACCTGCCCTCTACCGAACTTGCTAAGAAACTACTGCTCAAGTATCTTTTCCTAATATTTACTTATATACACTTTCACAGAAAATAAGCCTAGATATATTTAGACCATGTGTTTGTTGTGTACACACTGAGAAGTTAAATCAAATCAAAGTTGATGTCAAAGTGCTTTGTAGTCTTTATACCAGTATACCAGTATTGGTGTTGCACAGTGATACTAATGTAGTATTAGATAACAAAACTCACAATACAGTACTACGATACAATACAATAAAATACAATACTATGTATTTCTATGAGAAGAAAACAATCCAAACAAGCTATGCCAGGGTTGTAGGACATGGTTTTAGCATACAGTAACAGCACTCAGGAAGCATGTCTTCATCCTTATTGATATTATGATATATTTGGAAAATATCCTGATATTGAACTTTTGCTATAATGGCCAGCACAACTGAAAAGGTTATTTTAGTTTAATTTAGTTTACTGACCTCATCCTAGCATTAGTTCTTCCCTATTTCAAATGTGCACTACAATGAAGTTATCTTTATGTCAAATAAACAGTAATTCTTCCACACTGACTGAAGGGGTGTTAATGATCTTAATTAAACTCCAGATCTCAGGAGGACGGCTGTACTGCAGACCTCAGGAGCAGAATCTGTCATCTAGTCAAGTAAGAGCTCATGAGAGTGTATGCATGTTTGATGGAGTGAAAAAAAGTCAGCCGTTGTTGTACTTGCACCAAGTACAAACATGCACAAAAGTATGTCAAGCACAAAGGAAATTTTTAACCCTTTGAAGAAAGTTGATATAAATATTTCAAACGATTGACAGATTTTTCTGCTATTTAGAATATAAGCAATATCATCTCACAGGATATTTAAAAAAATCATTTAAAAAAATGAATATCGCCCAACCGTGGCTCATGTCACTTTAATGTATGAAAATCTTTTTCTCTCTCTCACTCGCTCATCTCCTGGTTACTCTGTCTCAGCTCTTTCAACTTATATACTTGGTCTATTTTCAGTTCTTCATCCACTCGTCTCCATCTCTCCCTCGTCTTTGCACTGATCTATTTGCTTTTTGCCTCCTATTTTATGTCTGAAACCTATCATCCATCCGCCCATCTTTCTCTGTCCTCAAGAAGAGGTTATGTGTTTTTCTAATCAAAGTTTGCTGATAAAATCTCTTTCCCTCGCCCTGTCTCCTTCTCCCTTTCCCTTTTTGTCTCCCTCTCTCTATCTTTGTGCTCTACTTTTTTATACATCTGTCTTTCTTATTTTTATCTCTTTGTGTCTGAAACCTCTGAAGCCTGTCATCCATCTACCCATCTTTCTGTCCTCAAGAAATGGTTACACGTTATTGCATTTTTTATCAGTTTGCTCATAATCTCTGTCTCTCTCTCTCTCTCTCTCTCTCTCTCTCTCTCTTTCTCTCTCTGTCTCTCTCTCTCTCTCTCTCTCTCTCTCTCTGTTTCCCTCTGGGTCCCTCTCTCTATCTCTCTCTTTCTATCTCTGAAGGTACTGGATCTCAGAGTTTCCTGTCGAGTTTAATCTTAATCCTGCTTTAGCTGAACAGATTAGAGATTTGAGGGAGCAACTCAACACAGAGGGCAACGAGCGGGAGAGCCAACTCATCGACGTAGAGAGTGTGTAAGTGTACACACGCACCCACACACACACACATCTCTTATGTGTACACAAACCCAAGTCTTTAAAACTCACTCCTCCCATAGTTGATTCCAAGGCACAAATGACATGGTATTATTCATATTAACTTGTAAGCTTAAGAGGTAGTTGTTAAAAAAGGAAACGTTATAATTAAGCAATAGAACACATAATGGTGCATCATGAGTAGCATCATGGCTGTGAGCCGAAGGCTGGAGATCATAACGACCTGTTATTTGTGATAACACCCTACCTTAAGTGTTCTATTGGTTAATTGTTGTTACTTAGCAACCAGTGGTCAGCAGATACAGGTATGGTGGAAATGAGCTGTTATCTAGGGCTGGCATGAATAATTTCAATACACAAGTATTCTTTTGTTACAGTGGACCTCATTTTTTATGTAGTAATCATCAACTTATTAAAAAAAGCTTGTTTAATTGAATTAAACTGCGGTGGTTTCCATGTGGCAACTAAAGCTGAAATAGTAGAGATTCTCACATGCGTGGGGGCATTAAATTATGATGATAAGAAAAAGGCTCAGTGCAAAATGTGCAATAAAAGTATATAAGTATACTGAGTATGTACCACTTAGTAGAATATACCTTGAATTCACACCATACACAGCACATGTTTCAGCGTCCAAATGTCACTGTCTTAGCTAACTTGGCTACATCACATAACCATTTCAGACTGTAAAATGACCTCCTTTTTTCCTCCTTTTCTTTTCTAATTAAACACAGCAGATTTAAAACTTGACAGTATAAAAAAATGATCTGGGTTAAATTTCCCAAAAGCATCTTAGTGTTAAAATTATCATCAAGTTTGAGCAAGGGTTTAGTGTGATGCTCGTTCTACCAACTTAAAATCATTTTTGTGCGAATATACCCAGCCCTGTTTATCGACGAAATCACAAGTTTTTTACCAGTGTCTGAAAAGAGTAGCATCTGCATGCTGTTAGACCAGTGCAAGCGCTTATCTGCAAATACTGAGTCATCTAGATCAACACATTTTAGTATGTTATGGTTTTAAATATTGTTTAGAATGCTATAGAAAGTGAGTCTGTGATTTGGCAGGATCTCTACAGAGCTTATGCTCCACGTAACTCCACACTTGAAAACACAACAGGTGAGAATAGCTCACATTGTAACTGACATCTAACACAGCCGGCGTGGACTAAAAAAAACAGTTACAGTGAGAGCATGTCTGTTCCATCAGACGTGCGATAATAAAATGCTTCAGGTATTTTTTTATTTTTTTTTTTGTGATTTTAAATGTTCAGGTACTCAATTGGAAATATCAAGCAGTATTTGAAGATAAAAACTTATTCGAAGATAAAAGTTACAGTTATCAGATAAAAGATATGGGCGGAACTTTGTGTTCCACACTTTGTGATCAGAACTAACTGATGTATAATGCATCATGCATCAGAAAGGTTTGAAGATATTCCATAATCAGATATTTTCTTTAAAGCTAATTTTTGGTTCTCTAAGATGCTGTTTGTCCCTCACAGGCCCTCATATAAGTGGAAGCGTCAGGTGACTCAACGTGTTCCATCTGTGTCGAAGAAGAGGAAAATGTCTCTTCTATTTGATCATCTCGATTCCTCCGAACTGGCTGAACATCTTACCTACCTGGAGTACAAGTCTTTCTGCAAGATACTGGTGTGTGTGTGTGTGTGTGCGTGCGCATGGTGTTACTGTTTATCTTCTGGCTGTCTCTTCACTGTCCCTTTTGTTCTTTTTCATGTCTGTGTAGCATTTGTTTAGTCTGTAAGTGTAGCATCAATGCGTCCATCCATCTGTTGTGTACATTGATATATGCAGCAGCAGCATATTTGCTGTCTTGCATTGGCTACACAAAATATTGTGTCTGTTGGGTGTTATTGCCAGTGGACCCTTGGTCCTCATAATGTAAGACTGTTGTTTTCTTTACAGCACGTTTCCATGAGTTACAGCACACTTTTAGGCAGCAGAATCCAATTCAGTTAAGCCTTTTACGTCTTGAAACCACCACTTATTTCTCTGGCCTTGGTGAGGCAGAACACTGATAGTTTTTGTGTTGCTGGAATCATAACATGGAGCAAAAAAAGTGGTCTTTTATTGTGAGACGTTTTTAGTTATTTGTTTAGGTGACAAAATTTTAGTTTTTCATATTTTGGTGTACTGTGTGTCTAGAATAAACTGGGCCTTTTTTGTTTTTTGTGTTTGTGCAGTTCCAGGACTACCACAGCTTTGTCAGACATGGCTGCACAGTGGATAACCCCATCCTGGAACGTTTCATCACCCTTTTCAACAGTGTCTCCCAGTGGATCCAGCTCATGGTTCTTAGCAAGCCCACGGCTCAGCAACGTGCTGCTGTCATAACCCACTTTCTCCGTGTAGCGCAGGTTAGTTATAATTATGTAACTTTAATTATGAGTAGGTTTACAAGCCATATAAGTGTGTTATAAGGCTGATCAAAGCACACACTGTATAAAAACATATAAAAACATGCAGTTACTTTTAATGGCAAAATATTAAAAAACGTGAGAAATGTATTTATGCCAGCTTTAGAAGCCCCAAAAAACTGATATCCACTCCACACCTTTTAAGTGTGACATTGTTATACTTCAGATGGCTTAAATCTGTTTAGACAGAGTAACATTAAATACATTATTTCATAGTGCTTTCATCTCTTAACAGCCCTTGTTCTTTTTCCTGTGATCTAATAACTTCTCATAGTGGCTGTGTGTCAAAGTGGCTGTTTATCACACTTTAGAATTTACACCTTTCAACTCACACACACTATCTCTCCCACACAAAATCACTCACAGAAATGTGGGAGCGTTTTTGTCGAGGGAGTGTTTCCAATGTCTTGTTTCTAATGTAACCTCTAAGCACACTAAAGCCCCAGATGATTAGTGGTTCTTTCAAAGCAAACAGGGCCCAGTTTCCCAAAAGCATTTTAGTGTGAAGGTCATCATAACTGGTACAGAATGTGTTCAGTATGATGTTTGCTCTATCATTTAAGAATCATCTTTGTGCTAAGTTGCCTTTGGGAAACCTAGCCTTGATCTCTGGTGTACAGAGGATTTAGTGGTTTCATACTCATATAGCAATCTTAATGAGGACTATAAAGCACATTAGGCCAGATGTGTATTCAGTGCAATTATGTGAATGCAAATGACAACGCTTGGCCAACGCGTTGCAGACACGCCGTCTTGCTGTACAAACTCACTGTGCGTCCCTACGTTACTGTGGCAGTTAAAACACTTAAGTACATAATTGGACAATAGAGTACAGGTCAGTATATCTTTAAATGGGTTCTGATGTTATTCCAACTGGCACAAAAGCTAAACATGTTGATAGTACTTTTAGAATGAAAAGTAAACCAGTTCTGCAAGAGACTCGTTGAACTGCTGGTATGCCAAGACCAAAAAATCACACTGGCAGTACAAGACATCTTAGGTGTCTCCATTGTGCTCCTTGTGGCAAGGCTTAGAATGCAGCTTGCATTGTGAATTGCATTATGGCACATTTTAGAATGCAACAATGCACGAAGCTCGAAGCATTTGCATTCATATACTATATTTGATTTTGGCCAGTCTCTACCTGTTCACATCTAACCCTCCATGACCAATATGTATGTATATCGGTCACTGTTGCTTAGGCAGCATTCGACTGCTGGCAGGCTGGCACATTTGAGTGGACTGTGTGATCATGCAATAAACTAAATGTTCTAAAGCATGGGAGCCACTTTCACCCAGTGTTTAGCCAGGCTATGTTTATTAATTAACATCACTTGAGAAAAATATTTGTATGCGGATATCAAATTGAAAATAACATATTCATAGTATTTCACTTCTCAGCTTTTCTTCGTCTAGTTTACACTTCAGCTGACCAGAAATGCTTAGTAGCCTAAACAGTTTTGCTCACTTTGTTAATGCTTGACCATGGGTGACCTGCATATGTCTCAGGAAAGCAGATTTTATAGGTTATTATCCATAAAACAAAACAGTTAACTTAGTGAACTAAGTTTCATTGTTGTGATCATCATTACAAAATCAGAAGATACTTTCTCCTACCATACCTTATTTTTTATTAAGATCCTGCAGTACTGCAAACACTGCTTTCCTTCCATTTGCAGCACATTTTCATCAAGATCCAAGGTCAGTTCAGAGAGTTACGTGGGACATGAGAACATCTTTTTTGTTTGGACTCACAGCCCCGCATGACTGCTTGTTTGCATAAAGTTGAGCATTGCTTGCTTCATATGCCCAACAGTTGCTCTGATGCTCACCACTGGCTCTCATTCACAATAAATAACCAGGGTTCAGCCCTAATTATTGCCTGAATGCCTGGGGCAGGTTAAACGCGACGTCGGGACAACAGCACAAAAAAAAATCTCTTGTCCGCTTGGGCAAGTTCCTGTTGGGGTCGGGGGACACATGTTAACAGAACAGCGCATCCGAGGCCAAACTCAATTCACTTGAGTATTTAATGCCTCATCATGCAAAAATGTTCTTATCCATTTGCGCCTTGAAACAAAGTTGAAACAAACCAGTGGTATTATTTGTTGACAAACAACAGAGTGAGGCATGCAGTAAAATGTTAGTGAAGTGCAAATATGAAGCAGCTGGGTAGGTCAGCAGCTCAGTCCCTCATGGAAAACTCATGGGTTGATTTTGTCTCATTTGTACCTGAGAAGTTCAGGTATTTAAATTACAAATGGACTGGAACTTAGTAGGCGTTAATACAACAGTATGCAGGTTAAAAGAGCAGTACAGACCAGACTGGTACAGCTGAACACAAACTACAGCCATTTTATTTGAGACTGTGAGTTTTTGCTGATTATTTAATGTTAAAAAATGTGATAGTTAAAAAATGACACTTTTACTGACAGTCATTTTAGTCAGTAAAGCACTGTTTAAGTAAAACTGTTAGAGACGATGTAATTTTTTACCACATTAAATCATTTTGTCTGACATGATCAGTTACTGCAATTTCTAAAATCAGTATTGGTGTCGAAAAAACAAAATATTCGTACTTAATGGGCCCTAAAAAGGCTCTATAAAGTCATTATTTTTTAATGTTCCTCAAGCTGGGAAACTTCCCTCCACTTTTCCTCTTTATGGACTCAAGTGCAACAGGTTTTGGAGAGAAGTTCACAGCTCGCAGCCAGGCACAAATGTAGCACCTGTGTCCAGCTGAGGTGGAGTTGCCCTAAAATTGCTTTCCCAAGGGTTCTGTTCATTATTACTTGTGAGTGTTAAATACAGCAGGTTTGGAAATGTTGAAATATTGATGTTCTGTTTCGGTTTGCTGCCCAAATGTTTTTTTTAAAGACCCATAGGGTGTCCTGTAGTAGTTGCACTGCAGGACACTGCCACCCCCTGCTTGTCTTCTTCCTGATCCCTCGTTCTTCCCTCCTCCTTCCCAAGAGAGCTCATCTCCTCTCCAAAAACCACCAGCTGAGTGCTGTTCTCTTCCCACCTCTCTCTCCCTCTCTTTTTCTCTCTCTCTCTCTCTTTCTCTCTCAGGTGCCGTGGCTGGTTTTTATGAGACACTAATAATACAGTAACATTAATAGGCTCTGTCACCGAAGCCCTCTCATGTTATTAGCCACTTTACTTTCCGTTCTGTTGAGTGCTTTGTACAAGGAGCGGATTCATTGAGGCTGATATTTGGCCACAATAAAAATGTCTGCTGCGTGTTGGAGCAGCTGGAGCTGGATTGATTTTTGCAGTGTGTGTGGGTTGAAGGGCAGAGGATGTCTCCCATAGAGCCTCATTCACAAAGACATACTGTGGCTTTCATACACTCGCTACCACATTCCATGCGGCCTCTGAAACAATGAAACAATACGGCCTCTGAGAGAGCCCAGCCATATTAATGCTGTTTATTATTATATGTTTGTGTGCTTGTTTTAATACATTTTTAGAACCAGAGAAAAACTGGGACAATACAGCACCAGGCACTTGTAAAGTGCTTTTTACAGAAACTCTGTTTCACTTTTTTTAAACTGAAATATTAATCATTTATTTTTACTGAGGTTAAGGTTAGGGTTAAGTTTAGGGCTAGACTTAGAAAGTTTTTACTACACATAGGCACTGACCTATATATAAGACATACGGGACATATTACATATGGTTTAGTAAAAAATCAATACTGTGCGAAAGTCGAAGAGCACCTGTTATTTATTTAATTTCCAGTTAAAACAGCCATTAAGCAGAAGTGGCAGGATGGTCAGAACACCTGTGGATGTTTTCAGATCTCAAGCAGAATTGGAGCTTGATGTTTTTTCCTCTCAAAGATGACTGCTCTGTATTTGTTTTCTTTATTTTTATCTGTTTTTCCAGCTCTTCCTTCCTCTGCATCATTGCAACCCCCCAGACTGCCAAGCTAATACCTCTACACCCACATATTGTCTCTAAGTCTCTCTCTCTCTCTGTTTCTCTGCGTAGCCTAAATCTTTTCCTAATCCATTTTATCCAGTTTTATCTATTTCGTCCTGCTCCTTTTCCCTCTTTCTGATGAATCATTATCTTTCAGTGAACCCCTCTTCCATCTGAACTGCTTTTCTTTTCTTCCCTCTGGCCTTACACTCATTCTCTTTAACCTCATCCATCCATCCCACTAGCGCTAAATTGTAATGATCTGAATCTTAGTAAGATGTTTCTGTTTTTCTACAAACCCATTTCTTGCTGTGTTTCTATCAGAGTTTCTCTGCTTTTAAGAATGAGGTTTGTAGATTTAGACGGCAGATGTACAGAGCATGGTTTTCCAAAGAATGGTTTCCTGTTAGTTTTGTTGTGGACTGCACAAAGCAATATTATTGGATTATTGGCAACGTTAAATAATAATCTAGGCATCATTTATTGTGATGTTTTCTTGTTTGATTAAATGTGCAAGTCTGATCTTTTTCACATGGCTAATGGAGTATATAATAGATGCATGTGTAAGTTGTGTGTCAGAGTGTGTCTGTGTGTGTGTGAGACCGTGAAAGGAATCACTGCAATTTATAGGTCAGTTTTTAGTCTTTTAATCTCTCCTGATGATTTTTCCTCTATATTTGTGTGCATGTCTCTCTCTCTCTCTCTCTCTCTCTCTCTCTCTCTCTCTCTCTGTAGAAACTGCTGCAGCTGCAGAACTTCAACACTCTGATGGCAGTGGTTGGAGGCCTCAGTAACAGTTCCATCTCCAGGCTGAAAGATACACAGACACACATCAGTAACGACACCAACAAGGTTCTCACCAGAGCACTTTTCATTAGTGGTGAATGCACTGTACAAAATAAAAAGTCAAGTCAAACTTCTGCATAGCTTTTTTACATTTTCTCAACTTAAAGTTCTCCTTTTATAAAACTCACATTTTAAGTACTAAAGTTATGTCAACACAATGGTTTAAGTTGAGTTCACTCAAAAACACAAAACCTACAAAGGTAAATTTAGTTGCCTCTTTAAAAGCTGAAATTGTTTACATTTTTTTGGTAAGTTTTCCTCAGTTCCTCTTTCTCACGGGCTACTTTCACACAATGTCCTCACCCTGGTTGTTGTGGACTTCCTTTTCCACTTAGACTATGAAGGGTTGGGTTGTCACTGGGATTCAAACTCATGATCTCTTGGTGATTAGGCAGTTTGACAGTAGTCAGGAGCCACATTGTTGCTTACGTTTCTGTGTCAAAGAAAGAATAAAAAGGTAACTTAACTCAGGGCAGTGTAATCCGTGCATAATTTGTTCCTCATGCTCATGCTCAGATTTCATGAGATCTGCAATCAGAGACCCCCCCCAGGCTGTGGACCCTGTGTGATGGGGGGGGATCATAGCCTGTGGATGGGAACGGACAATGACTAAATTAAGGGAAGAGACTCCAACAAACAAATTATTTCAGATTATAAGGAGTCAGCTGTGTTAACTTTTTTTATGAGTAAGCTCAAACCGTATTTTGTGGCATCAGAGCAATCAGAGCAAGTTTTATCAAAGCTAACGTTGAGAAAATGAACAAAAGCTATGCAGAAGGTTGACCTGAGTTTTAATTTTTTACAGTGGATCAGAAACATCCATGATCAGATTAATTTCTGCTTTGACCAATCTTTGTAATGATTTTATAGCATAAATAATGAGTATGCATGCTGTATTTGAATGCTGTGCTCACACATCCATGCATCTGTTATACCTTCTCATGAGCCTATATGCTTCAGTGTGCTAATTTAGCTTGCAAACTGAGACACAGAAAATAGACAGTCTTATTTTTGTTGATTAAAATAAAGAAGGCTTTGGCTAATGAAAAAGTTCAAACATTGAAAGCATCGAGATTCATAATGCATTAATTTATTTTCTAACAAATTGTAAACAAATAAAATTATTGAGGGATTAGTAATTAACTCTCTTACTTTCTCTCTTGTCCTTCAGATTTTCAACAGTCTGATAGAACTGGTGACTTCATGTGGAAACTACAGTCAGTACCGGCGCCGTTTTGCAGACTGTTCTGGGTTCAAGTTCCCCATACTGGGCGTCCACCTGAAGGATTTGATTGCGGTGCATGTGGCGCTGCCAGACTGGACTAACCCAGAGAAGACATGTGTCAACCTAGCTAAGACCCAGCAGCTTTACGCCATACTGCAGGAGCTTGCACTTGTACAGACCACACCACCTAATGTAGAGGCCAACACTGATCTACTCAACCTACTCACGGTGAGATTTTGTGGCTGTGTGTATGAATGCGTGTCTGTGGATATGTGGTATGGTACTTTATTATCAGAGGCTGTTAGGGTGCGTGTGTGTGTGTGTGTGTGTGTGTGTGTGCGTTTGTGTTTATGTGTGTGTTAAAGAGAATGAGTAGTAATAATCTCCCATCCAGGGCGAAGAGCTATGTCTACGTGAAGGGCTTTTTGCTCTACCCTTGAAAGACTGGAAAAGAAATACAATATGGCAGTAGGGTTGGTGCAGGGACAAATTTGCAACACAGCAGTGTTTACAACCTTGCCTCTATGAATGAAGCAATTTCAATACAGTATTAAAATGAAAGAAACAAATGCTAAAAAGTGTGTTGAAATTTAAAACAGTACTGCCGATACACCATTTAGTCTTTTCTAAGAGTCTCTCATTAATTGTCTTTCATGGAAACCACTGTCAATTATCGAACTAGATATATATAACTAGAGCTCTGTTGAATCAAATTATTTTTAACACATAAAATTTCAAAAATCAAATTGAATTTTGACTTCAGAATTGAAAATCATATCAAATCTGAAAATATGTGTATTATTACACCCCTACAGACTACCGCACTATGCAGTACCACTGCCATAAGCTGGGGATGGAGGGAGCAGATTTTTGAAGTGTTTTATGATCAGTATATCTTGTCGTGTGTCAGGGCCATAGTCAAGCAAACTTTCCTGCAAGACGTAGACTCTCTAAACAGTTTTATGTGGACAGTGGCTTGTACAGTTTTATGTGGAAACTTGCTTGTACTTTAGCGACACGCCCCCACAGCAGCCACACTTTGGCAAGCGAAGCTCTTAGCTTAGTTGTTTTGAAAATGCAGCTCACTTTACCCAGCTGACTCTGGCAGGCTGGAGTCAGTTATTTATAATGTTTAATTTAGACAGTCTTCTTTTAATTTCTGTGCCACAAACCCCACACTTTGCATCATTTAGAACATGAAAAATGGAAAAATTGGAAAGCAGTTATGGTGGTGACATGCCCGAGCTTGCAGTCATCGTGCTACTATCTCCTATGAATGCAGGAGGAAAGAGCTGTGAGATGTATTTGTTGTGTTCATAATTCAGTGTTCCATCCATGACAAACTGCATTAGGAAGATCCTTGACTTGGATTTTGATGGGGAAGCACAAGTCTTCTTTTGTTCTCCGCTCTTTTGAGTCGTGTTACGTTACTTTCCTTCAATTTGATCTCAGTCAATATTTATGGTATTTTCTAGGTAAACAAACCATGAATATTGATAATCTCACCCATCCCCCTTACCCTAGATCAAATACACATGGTCCACTGCAGCTTTCACATAGTTTCAGTTGTATTTTTAGTGTTTATGCTTTTTTGAGCATTAACTGTTTCAATGAAAATCTTTAATAAAATCACAATTCAAGCAATATGAAACTAAGTAACCAGAAGCCACACTTAAGCTGGCACAGAAAAAAACACATTTTACTCATGTCGTATGTGGTAGCCTCCAGGTGAGAGCTAACTTAGCTGCTCTAGGGTAGTCACTTCAGCTCTACTGCAGCAAGTTACTTGGAGGCAAGCTTATGTTTATGTAAAGTAAGAAAGGGGAAGCTGTGCAGTAAAGCTAGCATTACAGTGCATAGCAGAGAGAACCAGACAGCTTCTTAACCCTGCCTTAACAAATGTGTGGTGCACACTTCTTACACATAAACCCGTTTCCAAACATATTGTAGAGATTTCAGAAAATGTTTACATGTTTATTCTGGGTTATCTGTTCTGCAGAAGGTGTTCTCTGGGTTTATTTCTAAAGGACTCTTATTGTGAAGCCTTCTTTCATTTCATTTCCATGTGTTGTTGCTTAGTTCAGGAAGAGAGTGTCAGCTTTATTGCTGGCAGCCAAGCAAATTAGCTAGAGGTAGTGAGGCTGAAAGCGAAGGAAGAACCATTCCTTGTGTAAGGCTGGAGCCAAATACAGCCTGAAATAAAGCTCAATGGTTTGTGTGGAAACCACTTTATCTTCTTCTGTAGCGTAAAACGCTGCAATATTTACAAGCTGTTTAACGGTATATTCGTCCTCTCTAGTTCTCTCTCTGTTCTTTTCCCATTGGGTTACCAATCCATCATTGACGATATCCAATTACATTGCCCTATCACCCAGGCCTACATTGCATACTATTTTTCTTTACAATGCCCTGCATGTACCTGTTGGCCATGCATGTATGTGTTAGGCCAAAAGCTTTTAGCAAAACAATGTCTCAGGGCTTTGGCAGCATACTTGGATCCATTTAGTGGAATAACTCTATAGATTTTAGAGGCATTAAGCTTTTCAGACATTTTGTTCCTATCACCCCCACTTTAAAAAATTTTGGCTTGGCAAGTTTCTCTAAAATGTTACATCAGTCCACTCTAAATCAATTTATTTTTTTACATCTTAACAATTTAATAATGCCAAAATTGGTGGAATTCCCCTTTAAGGTTCAATTGTGGATTGTGCAGGTGTGTCTCCAAATGGTGTATTTTTATATTTAGTTATCAAAGCTGAACCAGCAAAGTTTTAGTGTCTAAATAAATAAACAAATCCAATATATTCTCAATCCCTCTCTGCATTGGTAGTTCTAACTGAAGAGATGTTTTTTTTTCATGGGAAGCTCTTTCCTGGAGATTGATCATTCACTTCTTACTCCAGGTGTTCATGAGAGATACCAGTGCTGCCTAATTTTCTGGGAAAGTTGGAGATAACTCTTTTTATGGTGCAGAGTTGAAGGGCACAAGGAAGTCTTGCCGATCAATATTCAATTTTCTCACATTGGGAAGGGGGACAAAATCTGTTTATGTCAGGCAAGGGATTGATGTTTGTATTCAGGCAGAAGGGCATTGCGCAGCGAAATGTGATTTGAAATATTGAGAGTGTTTCTCTGAACTGGCCTTCAGAAGGTCTTTAGTATAACTCAGGCTGAAGTCAGTAAAGGACAGTCTTTATTCATTAACAAGCTTTCAGTGGCGCTGTATTAACTTGTTACTCAGCTCAGGCTATTCAGATTAGACTAATTATTATTCATCCATTTATCTTTACAAATCTGAGGCAAGCAGGTGAATAGTGTTAATCGTTCTGATGTCTGACTGCAATTATGAGGAATGAAAAACAGCTGGTCAGTAAAATCAGTCAAATGTTGATCATTTTAAAGCTCATTTTTCTTTAAAGTGAAGCAATTCAGGCTCAATTATGAGCCACATGCATGCTCAGCATCTCAGGAAATCTTTTTAAGACTTAGAAAAGTGAAGCGAGTATGATTATCTCAGAAATAATCATACTTTTGTGAGCTAACCCTTACTCTGTTCAGACTAGTGCTGGACAAAGGATTGTTTGTTGATGGTTATCGTGAGACTGGCTTTTGCAGTTCTGCAGGCTATTGCAGGCTACAGTATGCAAATGAGCCCTCTAACCAATCACAGTGTTTTTTTTTGTTTTCTGTTGGACTTGTGTGCTGTGAGCGTCCTGACCAGTCACAGTTCCATTTGAGTGTTTCAGTGGATGTTTTGATGACATTTTTTAGTGTCACTGCAGTATTTTGCAGGGTCTCCCAATATATAGCAATATAATCGCAAGATATTTGTCCATAACATACAGCTCGAGTTCAGAGGGGTGCTGGCAGGGAGGAGGAGATTGTCTTTGAGTGAAAAAACAAATAGTGTATGGAAAGTGTGCTTGAATGGCTGAAATGGCACCCTTTGACCCCGGCACATATCCTGTACCTGTTTTTTGTTTCTCCCTAAGCATATTTTCCCCTTAGTGAACAGTCTGTGGTGCAAACTGTCAGTCCTCATGGGAAGCATTTACCATATTTACACAAGTACAGTTCTGGGAATTATGACCAGAGCATATCGGAGAAAAGCACCCTTCCTGTCCTCCCTCTTTTGCTGAGGGATCCCACCTGTTAACACGCGCACACACACACATACCAGTGGAGGTAATAGGAGGACACCACAAACAATATATGCAATATCTCATATCAGCTGAGTTAAAAAATTTGACTATACACACAAAAACTAAATGTTATATACACTGGAGCATTTGTGCACCAGTCCTGTGTTGACAAGGGTGCATTAGAGGAAGAAGCCTGAACTATACTATGTAAATGATTCTTTATGGTTCACGGCACTTTTTGGGTCATGAGTAAAATGATTTTAATATGGCATCAGATGTAACTTCTACCTCCTTCCACTGGCCACCCACACAGATAAAGAGAGAGAGATGCCCAGCTCCAGGGTAAAGACCATGGCTTATGAAACCTGTCTGCAGTAGACACATGCATTCATTTCAAACCCATTAACCTTTTTGTGACAGCATCAACATTCTACAAATTGGCTTTTCTGTAAATTGCCCATTCTCAAGAGACGTTACTGTTCGTCAGTCTTCAACAGCGAATTTATGTGGCCTGGAAATTCACCTTTTCTCCAAACAGGATAGACGCAGGAACACCCATTAGCAAGAGTGAGCTTATGCACCTGTATCATATAGACCCACAGGACATTTTGGGGCGGATGACTTAAACATTTGTACCAAAACATCTTTGCTTTATGATACCACTGTTATGGGTTTCTGTCGTTATGTTCAAATTTCTATTAATAAAAAAAAACTAATGAAACAGGTTTAGGAGACTTGAGTTCTATCTGCAAGCATTTTGTCTTCTCTTGTGTGTTGTTAAAAAGTGTTTCAACAACACTTAGAAGTATATTTGCTCATCAGAAATATGGGTAATGCAACAATCATCATCTTATGTTGGACAAGTATTTTACGAGACCTAAATTAACATTATGAGCTTAGGCCTGTGCAGATATTGTTTATCACATTAGTTCAAAAACATTCTCGTTGTTTTAAATTCTGTGATCATATGTGGTCTGAATGCAGTATGCAGTATGTGGTCTAAATGAATGCAGTATGCAGTATTTTTTTATAATGTGCCTGTGTTTGGGTAGGTTTCACTGGACCAGTATCATACAGAAGATGAGATATATCAGCTGTCTCTACAGAGGGAGCCACGAAGCACTAAACCAGCAGTGAGTTGAGAGTAGCAACCAATAGAATATGTTCTTCTGTCATCATCTTGTCCATGACTGTCAAAATGTTTAAGGCTGTTAAACAAACTTTGCTTCAAGCATCTAACATGGTTGTTTGTGACCTCCTGATCAGAACTCAAGCCCCACTCCCAGTCCAGCGCCAAAGCGACCGTCAATGATTGATGAGTGGGCAGCATCGGTGAAGCCTAAAGCAGATCCTGCCATCATCACCAAACACATCGAAAAGATGGTTGATGTATGGAAAAAAAGCTTTCTTATATTGAAGTTCCTGCACGTAATCTGCAGTTACAGTTTCTTATGCCTTGGATTTGCCCACTTTAAAGGCTAAGTTTCATTTATTGCTGCTAAATACAGAAAACAATATTATTCAGGCATTGGATGAAAGCATACAGAATGTTTTATAGACTCTGTTTAACAGAAGTGTTTTAGAGAGTTGATTAATATAGTACTTCATACACTTTTAATTTTATTATTTTATTTATTTAATTTGTCATGAAGCATGGAATTGTACTGAACGAAATAATCTGCCGACCGTAGATGCATGCCTGTTTAAATTCATAGTGAGCAGTCTGAAATGTTTCTGTGGTTGCAGTCTGTGTTCAAGAATTTCGACACGGATGGAGATGGTCATATTTCCCGTGAGGAGTTTGAGAGCATTAGGAATAACTTCCCATATCTCAGCAAGTTTGGAGAGCTGGATACCAATCAGTGAGTTATTTGCACACAGCAGTGTCCACAGTTAGCACCCACTACTTTGTGGTTAGCATTTACTACTTTACAGACAGGAATGTCAGTTAGGACAGACTACATTTAGAAATCAATGCTTTATGGTTCACATCACTGACTTCTTAACTGGCTTCATTGTCTTCGTTATGGGCAGCACTGACTACATCACACAATCTCAACCTCAGTGATTATTTTATGAATAGCACTTCTTTACGAACAGCACTCATTACTTCATAGTTAGCACTGACTGCTTTACGGTTGTCAGTGGCTGCTTTGCAGTCAACAGAGAATGTTTAATGATTCTCTCTCATATTGTTTCTTTTGTTCTTTTGTCCTGCCATCTGTTTCCTTTTTCACTCCAGGCATCCTGTTCCTCACATTCATTCTGTTTAACAGGCACATTTCTCTCTCTGTGTCTCTTTTTTTCAGGGATGGAAAGATCAGCAGGGAGGAGATGATAGATTACTTCATGAAGGCCAGCTCTCTGCTTAACTGCAAGATGGGTTTCATACACACTTTCACTGAGACCACTTATGTGAAGCCCACCTTTTGTGAACACTGTACTGGCTTTGTGAGTGTATCTACTGCACTTTCTATGCATGGGGGGATGGATCTCCAAAACGCTGTGTTTTCACAAGTATTAACCAATCTGGGGAGTAGAAGAATTCCTTGGTCTGAACTCTCTGAGAATGACCGTCAGCTCTCACCCTGTCTTGCTCTCTCTTTTTCCCTCCCTCCCTATTTTTTCTTTTGGCTCTTGCCCTAGACAAAATACTTTTGATTTTTTGAACACTGTGTATTTGATAGCGCTCCAAATACAGAACCCAAAAACTCCTCCACACATTCTGCCATTCTGCTGCTCATTCTACACTGTGTGTGTGCGTGTGTGTGTGTGTGTGAATTAGCTACTAGCCACAACTTGTACCGTTCAAGGCAAAAGTGTTACATTCATGATATTTTAATATAAAACTGTCTTCTTTTTGTAAAGAAGACAAGTACTAACCCAGTGAAATATAAAATATGTGACATACTGCACATTTTGCTCTGAGCATTTTTCTTTTTGCTTTATAATTAAACTGCTCTCACACATGATTTCTCAGACATCCCTGCTCTTTAAGCTTCAATAGACAGGTGGAAAGTGACACAGTTTGTTGTGCTCTGAGGTCAGATGATGTGGATGTCTGAACTAAACCAGCTATAATTTATTTACTTTCAGTGTTTTCCATATAATAAGCCACTGTCCTTTTTAAAGGCCTTTGCTGATGAAATGTGTTGTAGTTGTAATTCCTAAATATACAGTCAAGTACCAACATAACAAACAGATACTCGATTTCTTTGAATCGTTCAGGTCAACCCTACTTATTTTACTTAAAAAAAAATGTTGCAAGACCAAGCACTGTCTGTGCATATGTGTTCTGGCATGAGAAAGTTTGGGAACCTCTGATATACCAGATGCTGCATGATAAGTTGGATTGTAGGACGGAGATTGGGAATTGGAGGGGGGGGAGTGTAGTGGCATAGAAGGTTCTTCTGTAGCACAGTGGCACAGCTGAGTGTGTTTGTTGCTTTGCACTGTCACTGTGGGCGAGTGTTTTTTTTGTGTGAGAGTCTTTTTTGTGTGTGAAAGGCATGTATGTGGGTGGGCACGTGTGTTTGAATGAGTGTGTGTGTGTGATGTTCTGGTCAGTCCTTTCATGTATTGTTCCCGTGCTGTGATCACTTCTCTCTCTTGATCCTATCCCCACCCTTTGCACAGTTCCTTTATCTGTTTATCCCTTTCTGTACCTTTGTCCTCTCCATCCCTTGCTTTGCTCTCCTCAAATTAATAAAACACAATTCAGTTTAAATGTACTCTCTGTTTGACCGTTTTTTAAATAAAAAAATTCATTAATTACTGCAAGAAAATCAGTTAAGTTCTTCTTTTCTTCCTAGATATGGGGCTTTTATAAGCAAGGATACAAGTGTAAAGGTAAGAGAGACAGTACATTGTCCGAAACATAACTGCGAAGATTAACCGTGAGACTTCTGAACGAACTGTTGCTTCCCTAGCTTTATTAAGCCTCTCTCTCTTTTTCTCTTTCTGACTCACCTGCTCTCTGTGTCTATAATAAGCAGTGTGCGTGCTGACATAGGCACACTGTGCCTTCCCCATTAGCAGTACTGAGAGAGACAGACAAGCTCATTTAAAAAGGGTTCAGCCCAGAGTAGACTGTCCTCAACAAATTTAGTCTTAGTGTGTGCAAATGCAGACGAGCTAGAATAGCTGATGTTGACATTTCACTGACTACAGAAATGAGTATGCATTACTATATAAGTATGCATGACTTTGTAGAAAGAGTATAATTGACCTATTCATGCTCCACACACAAATGAATGTATTCATAGCTACTGTTGCTAGGTTGGAAAGCTTTACAAAATGTTGGGACAAATTCCATTCAGCAGAATGAGAAATTGTATCACCATACATAAAAACTTAACATCTTTTGGAATTCGCCAGTTTAACTAATAAATAAGCTATTCACATGAGTTGTAGATTTGAAGAGCACAGCAGCAGTTCTTGGTCATTATTCAGCCAATCCACGTAGCATTTTGATTTCTATGAGCCAGTCAGAACTAACATAATATCTGCAGTGTCTTCTTGAATATTTCAAGCAGGTATTCATGTACCCTGATTTTTGTCAGATGACAGAATGAGTTTATTTCTGTATTGAAGTAGAACGTGTTGATTTCTTTGGCTGAGCTGCTAAGGAACGGTCAACAAATTGAGTTTCAGTACAGTACACCTGCAAGCGCAAATCATCAAGGTCAAAGCACAACATGTAAATATTTAGTAATAGGATACTTATGAGCAAGCATAGGCCTTTATTCTGAATATAGAATGCAAATGATAGGCAGTCAGTTTTTTGAATGACCTCAATTTATAATGATTGTTTATGAGAGTTCTTAAAAGATGTTGTCTACCAGATGTTGTACTGATCTTCTGTACTTGATAGGGTAAGCAAAAGATTTGTAACAAATATATCACAATGCATAAAAGGTGCAACATTTTCTCACATGCATTATGTTTTGTAGTATTTTGGTTTTAGTATACAAGATTGCTTAGTTTTCATTAATGTTTTCTCCTGGGGACAATGTATCATTTATTTAAAATTTTATTTATTTTGTATGCATGTGAAAGGTCATGCTGTTGAAATTACTTGTAGTAATTTTTTGGTTCAGTAATTGAGTGAATGTAGGCATGATGACAAATGGGTCCTTGCAGTTTGCTGTCTGCCTAGTTTTGATTAGTTACAACATAATCCTGCTCAGTAGTGTTGCACTTAAAACTGGACACTCAACTTTAAGTGGTGGCCCTCAACGAAGATCACTTCAGTTTTCATTAGATAAAATTTGTATTGTAAAGCTTGTCTAAGCTTGTGCAACAGTTGCTATGAAAACAGTTGTGGGCGGAGCATGCTGCTTTTTTGTGTGTTCAATATTTACATTTTCATTTCACTTTCCTCAGCCTGTTATCTCTACTCATCTCACAATCTTCCATCCTCCACTTTCTTTCCTTCATTTTTCTCAGGCTCTCCCTCCATCTCCAAACTCATGCTGGTGTCCATTACGCTAGGTGTGTGTGTGTGCCAGTGTGCATGCATCTGCCGTGTGTGTAAAAGCACATTCCTTTCTCCAGTACTTCTGGACTTCTGCCCCACGTTTCTGCGTGCGCTGGTGCCTTCATCACTCCCTCGTTCTTCCTCTCATCTTCCCCCTCTTCGTGCACCTATCCATCTCTTTCCTTTTGTCTCTCCTCCATCTCTGCATTAAATTTTCTACGTTCCCCCTTTTCTCTCCTCATCACACCATTTAGCTGTCCATGTTAAACCTCTTATCCTCTCTACCTTTTCCTCTCTCTTTCCCCTCTCTCCTCGTGGTTCTGTTCCTCCAACACCCACTCCCCACTCCCTCCCTCGTTATGCCCCTCTGCTCCCCTTCTTCAGTATGTGGTGTGAACTGTCACAAGGCATGTCGCTCGCGATTGGCAGTGGAGTGTCGAAAAAGGACGAAAAGCATCAGTCACGAAACTCCACCTGCACTACAAGCTCGGTCTTACAGCTTCCCACCTCCATCTAACACACCAGTCAATCTTCAGAACACAGGTATGTGCAAACACACACACACACACACACATTCTCACATGTACACTACTGTTCAAAGGTTTGGAACCACTAGTCGTAATAATCTTTAAAATCAATAGTAACCTCCACAATATGGATTGAAATATTGTATTAGGAGTGTAATAATACATGAAACCTTGTATCTCCTTTTATTTCATGATGAATGGACCAGTAGAAATAGTCCAAAATAACAGAATTTGGTATCATTAAATAAACTTATTTTAAAAAATAAGAATCCTTTTTTAGAATCATCTGCAGCTACAGTCCTTATTTTCACAGCTTCACTTATTCGAAACCCATGATGTTCATCATATTAGAATTACTTTCTTGTTTTATCTGCAATAACGTTGGTTTCATATTATTGAAAACAGTGATTCCAGTCTTTTGAATGGTTGCACACATGCAGATGTATACACACACAAACTTTTACATGCTTACACACATATTCATACATGCTTATAATTATGGACACACATACCGACACATGCACAAAACATACACACAACAAACATACAGTCGCACTAGAGATGGCACAGTACCACTTTTTTTCACTTAAGATGAGCTTTTAAATGTAGGCTATCATGCTGGGACCATTCAAACACTCTACTACCCCACAAGAAGAAACTCACAGCTAATATCAGCACATCACACAGTGTGAGTGATTTGCTATTTTAGGATAGGATTTGTTACAGGATTGGATCACATTCATTCATTATCTCCCATATCCAATCCAGCATTTTCTGCTGATGTCAGCCTGGTGCCTGGTATTGGATCAGTGCCACATTGTAAAGAATTGCTGTAAATTTACAGTGGAAACACTGCAGTGACATACTGTATTCCTTAAATACAGCCGATTGCTGTAAAATTGTCCAGAAAGTAAAAATTTAGATTTTACACTAATAGGCTGTTTGCAGAGCATGTTAGGAAAATGGGCTGTACTTTGTTAGTTAGTATTTCGGTTTTGTTATTTTTTTCTTAATTAAATTTTATTTCTTTATCTACAGTTAGTTTCGCATGATTTTATTTTTTATTTAATATGTTATTCTTACCCCAAAGATACATTTGAATTTATTTTATGTTTTGTTATTCCCACCATGATAGTGTTTTTCTTTTACTGAACTAGACCTTCGTGATAGGGCAGTGTAATCGGATATTGTTGGTGATTGACAGTTAACTCGATGCCGATGTCCAGACAGGTTAGGGTAGTTTTTAAAAGATGTTTGTGTACTCAGCATTATATTACGTTTCATTAATACAGACAATTAAAAAAAAAGCATATAAACTAAAAATAGAATAGAAAGAGGGTCAGAGCTGCAGCGGAATGCGTGGTTGGGGGCGATATAATCGTCAATCTTTTTTTTTTAACTAGAAAGTACTGTGCTAATTATTTTAGATATCGCTTAGGCCTACACCCAACTAAATCATCCTATCCTTTCCTGTATAATTGAAAGGTATTTTGGCCAAATAGGACAAAAAAAATGATGTTTTGTGTCACACACATTGCACCCACATATACAAGCCACAGATACACAGGCCTGTAGGAGCTGTCAAGACACAGGTGATTCAGTATGTTTAATTGCTTCCTTGTCCTTGTATGAGGGTTGACTATGTGTGTTTGTGTGTGTGTGGGTGTGTGGGTGTGTCTGTAAATTGGCTCCAGAAAGTTTCCTATCACCCAGCAACAGCTAGCTTCATCTGTCACCCACAAGATCCTCTTTCTATTTCCAGCTAGCTTCTCATCAGCCTAGCTTCATGTCAAATTAGTGGTTTAGCTGTACGCTCCTGTACAACAGATAACGCCAGCAGTGTGACAAAGCAGTACAATAAGATGGTTCATTATGCAGTTGTGGCTCATCTCGTACATTCTCTTGCGGTTTGTGAGAGCGATTCAGGAAAGGCAACAACAGTGTGAAGGTAATCCAAATAGATATTTACATTGAGCTTGACAATAGAGGCTGGTATCATCAGTAATAATAAAAGCATGCTGTAATTTTATATAGTTTCTCAGCTCACTGAAACAAGCAGAGAAATTCTATGGAAAATGGGGATTCTAGACTTTAAATTTGCAAATACAAGAGATAATTTATTACGATTATTGTTGTCGGTAGTCTTGTTTTGTGGAAAGATAGGCCATTCTTCTGTTTTTGCCACATTTTTTTATCATTTCCTTTATCAAAACAAGTGTAAAAAGGTCAGCAGTGCAAAGTCAAACCTTTCGATACAGGATTTGTTGGTAACTGGTTACATAATTTGATGTCATTCATAAGAAAGGTATTGCAGAATGACAGTAATAACACGACTTCAAAGGGTTAACAGAGAAAATAGGTGAACAGTCATGCACTGGTTGAGTCTCTCTCTCTCCCTCTCTCTCTCTCTCTCTCTCTCTCTCTCTCTCTCTCTCTCTCTCTCTCTAGTGATTGCAGAGGAGGATATGGAGGCAGCGGGGGAAGGAGGGTTTGATGTTCACCTATAATCCGGGTACATTACACTTTCCACAGTTTCATAGATGTCTAATGCAGACATCTTTTGTGCCTGTGCACTACGTGCTGTGTTAACCATTTCATTCATTTGATTGCAGATGTGCAGCATAGCATCATGTAAACAAGCAACAACAAACCAAGGAACAACCACTAACCCCCAGTGCACTGACAGAATGCTCAGTTAGCATGCTAGATGTTTAGGGGTTTAGCTTAATCAGGGTTTGTGGTTTCTAGGTTGGCCGAAGATTTACAGCGAAAAAGGCTCAGCCTCTGCAACTTCAAACTTGATCTTTATCATCCTGAGAACATGTAAAACGGTGAGAAAAAAAAACGAACATTGACCTGACGTGGGTACAAGGGACATTTCCATCACAGTTGGTCTGTTAGTAGTTAGGCTTTGGCATGCAATTCCTTCACGATGAAGAGAGTTTAAGTGTCCATCAGCTCCACACACAGAATCTCCAACACAAGACATCCGCATGCTGCCATCTTCTGGATGAAAACTGCAAGTGAAGTACAGACCAGGTGCTCATCCCTCACTCGTCCTTTCCCTTGAATGTGATCTCTCAATATTTTTAAATACGTTATCTAGTTGTTATTTGCATTGCTGTGCAAAGTTGCATCTCCTTTTCAACTCTTTTATATTTCAAGTTTAAAAAATGCTGTGGACTGTAAAAGTCTGTTTAATCTAGTGGAAGACAGTGGGCTAAGCCCATTTACTAAATAAACAGAAGGCTGTCTCTAATTTGTGGTCTTGTTGAAAGATGTCAGTAAATTTCTGTATATTAGGGGGAAAATCCTTTAATTGTACGTCACTTTAGAACTCCCAAGGTGCTGAGATATTCAGAGCTTGATGTTTAAACTGCTCAGCTTGTGTTTTGTAATTGTGAGTCACTGTTGACTGTATTTGTGATTTTTTTTTTTGTGCAGGAAAATGCAAAACGTATATATATTTAAAACCAGCTGTGTAAAAAAACAAATCAAGTTAGTGTAAAACAATAAGTTAGTGTAATATAGACATTTTAACAAGTCGAAGCACATTTTAGAAAGACCACTGTAGCCTATGTGAAAGTCTGAATGATATTTTTAAGGTTTATCTTGATATAGCTGTATATTTTCTATTAGTTGTCATAAGATTAACATATGAAAACGCTTCCAGAACTCTTCCAATAACTGAACCATGAATGTAGAAAACCCAGTTGATATTGTCCTGAGAAATGTGTTTCTGTAAATATTAAGTATATTGTATCTTTTTCACGTTTGTGTTGTAACCCTGTTGTATTTCAAGTGCACTGATATTGCCAAATATGCTAAATGTTAAATGTCTGTTTTTCTTTTCTTTGGGCATGCACAACAAGCATTTTTATACCACTAATATTAATCTACAGTGCTGTGCATTTATGTAATTTTCAGTCAAAGCAGCCAGAAAGTACTGCTTACTCATCTTTCAGCTTCAGGAAACATGTTTAACAGAAAATTACAGAGAAGCCTCAACAACTAATTACAGTATCCAGTTTTTCAATATTATTTGTGTCCACCCTTGACCTTATTATCGCTTCCATTCTTTTCAGGAGACTTGCTTTCAGTTTTTCTAAGAAATCTGCAGGGATATTTTTCCACACCTCCAAAGTTCAGCCTTAGAACTTGGTTGTGTTTTTTGCTTCTCAAAATCCAAGGAATCCCAAATGCATTCAGTGATGTTGATGTCTGGACTCTGGGGTGGTCAGTTAGTTCCACGAACTCCAGTGGCTTCTGTATTTGATTTGCAAATGTTCCTCCTTTTTTGTCTATTTCCTTTTTTCAGTAACGGCTTCTTGACTACTACACATCCTTTCAGCATTGAGTTGTCTTCTCACAGTGGAAAGATGGACAGAAACGCCTGTGGACTTTTTCTCTGTCTTTTAGTAAACTCCAGTTTTGGAAATTGTTGTTTTTCACCTATTTTTCTTTGACTTTTCCCTTCCTTGTGCAAGTACTTACTTAGAGTACTTTATGACCAATTTCTGAAAATTAAATAAATGACATGTGGCTGCACAGTAGTATTCATACATATATAAACTAACTGGCCCCTTCACTAAGTACACTTCCTTGTATTTACACTCTTTGTCCATTTTACAAGCATATAGGTGCACTTTTAGTTCTACAGTTACAGACTGTAGTTTATCTGTTTCTGTGCATACTATGTTAGACCCACTTTACCCTGTTCTTCAGTGATCAGAGCCCCCACAGTACCCACAGAGCAGATATTCTATGGGTGATGCATTCAGAGGATGCCTTTGAGTGAATGTTTTTGGTTAGTCGACTATTCTCAGTCCAGCAGTGACACAGAGGTGTTTAAAAACTTCAGCAGCACTGCTGTGTCTGATCCACTCGTACCAGCACAACACACAGTAAGACATCACCAGCACATCAGTGTCACTGCAGTACTGAGAATGATCCACCACCCAAATAATACCTGCTCTGTGGTGGTCCTGTGGGGGTCCTGACCCTTGATGAATGGGTTTGTGGAAGCTAACAAATTGGAGAAAACTGTGGACAGCCATCTGTAATTGTAGAACTACAAGGTGAATGTGTGTATCTGTGATGTTTTAATGACGTGCTTTCTGCAGTGTCTTGCTCTGGTAATGACAGAACTTAAGATGCTGTTATTGTATTCTGTTCAGATGTTCGTTTTGTCTCAATAGGTGAGATGTCCAACTTAAAAATGAATGGTCAGCTCAGTCAGGTGCTGTTATCTTCCGCTCTCTCTTTTTCACATATATAAACAGGTAAAAAAAAACTGCAGGCACATCTAGCACATTAGGCCTACACGTATTGTTTTATTGCTGCAATGCAGCTTGGAAAAATGTATTTCCATAACCACAGAGTAATTTCTTTTAATGACAAGGACCTCATGCTCTGCCTTAATGACTGATTAATTATAGATTTGTGCATAAAGGGCACAGTTAGTACTCAAAAGGTACATTCCACTTTCTCGAAACAGTGATTTGTTTCAAGGAAAAAAGTACAAAGCATTGCAGGAATATAAAATAGCCAATGAATTACTCTTTAGTTTATAGTAGTCAATTAACAAAGCCAAGCCACTGCTTAGTCTAATGTGAGTGTGACTGATGAAAGCTACTCTCATGCTGACTTAAATGGAGAGTTTGTCTGTTTTATAAGTCAAATCGTTAAAGCTTTGTAAGCAGAAGGCGCAACCTAGCAATGCAGTAATGGCACTGCATGAATTTCAAAGCACTAAGTGGGTTTGAATACATTATGTACTCCTGTAAGCTATTCATTCCTTTATTTTTGTCCGCCTATTCAGTTTCTGTAAAAACATTGTTGACTGTCAGCTGTTGCAAACGCACCTTCATGTTTGGAGAATGTGAATCAGACTAATGAATGGATAAACTGCAGAATAAACACCCATTAAAGATCCATTAATTCAGGCCTTTAAAGCACCACATCGATATTTATTTCGTTCTAAATGCATGTTTATCTTTTGGATGGTTCTGATACAGCTCGCTCTTTTTTTATTGCTGAGATTCATTAAAGTGCTCCAGTTTTTGAATTCTTTCACCCTTGCTGCCTTCCCGCCGACATTTAGCTGCTGCATTGAACGACGCTCTATTGATTTGAATAGGCCGAAAGGAGGCAGATCGAAGAATAATTCAGCTAATTATGTGATGAATACAAGACGAAGTTCACGTCGGATTGTTAGAGTCGGAACGGTGCAACCTTGATGGGAGTCTGTTTGCTAAGGACAGTGAGAATAGCTCCTTTAAAAGCTTGGCTCGAAAAAGACTTGCTTGTGGGCCTTTGAGAGCGCTATGTCCAGACGTCTTTAACTGCAGGTTTATTTTACAGTTGTTAGTCATAAAGAAATATGTGGCACAAATAAGCTAATATGGCTAATGGTGAATGGAAGTTAGTATGTAGCAATTAGCATCATGTTATTTGCATGATGCTAATTGGTAGCTGTTTTTATTTAGTGTTAGCGACATTAGCTTTTTTAACCTTTCTTTTAAATTGTAGAATTCAGTAGCCTCTGAATTATCTGGTAATTACTATGAGACTAATGCATGAAATTTGTAGCAGCCACCAGTTAGCATGATCTGATATCCTGAATGCTAATTGGTGGTTTTTCTGACTTCTCCTTTAAATTCACTGTGGAATTGGGTGAATGTCTGTGTAACAATGCATGTTTCTTTCACCAGCATTCAGAGCAGCCTGATTGGATGAAAAGAATGTATCACCACCATCAGAACATTCCTCTGTGCACTCTGGGAAGAGGCCTTTGATAGAACCTGATTGTCTCAGCGCAGTAGACTCCTCTGGGGAGATGACGCTTACTCCAGTTGAGTTATTCCTGTTCACATCTTTATCCCTTTCAGAATGTATCGATTCATATTGCACAGTCGTCTCATGAACCTGTTGGAGCTTCCTTGATATGCCATCACTGTCTTAAGCTGAATTACAGCCAGTGCACTTTTATCAGTACACTTTTGGTGGTGCTGTTGAGCTTCAAGAAATGTGATGGCGACAAATCAGTGATGTCAGTTCTTTTGTAACCTTGCAATTATCTGAGATCCCCTTGCAGAAACGTCAGGCAAATAACAGACAAATGGGTGAATGTTCTCTCACATAGACAGAAAGGCAGGGATTCGAAGGAACGCTTAAAGCATAAGTGAAACATATCTATTATAATCTCTATTATGACTAAATCTGCTTTCTTGACTGCGTATGGTGACAGTCTGATAACACAGTCAACTCTAAAATATTAATATTAAACTCAAGATCAAAGTTGTTTTAATTAAAGACTTTGTCATAATGTAGCATTAGTCTGAGAAGTACTTCTTGCAACATGCACATACATCGTTGCACCTAAAATGAACTGTTTTTCCGTTCAAAGCGCAATATAATCCAGACAGGACTGTTATACAAATTCTTTCTCTTATAGTCACAGACATGTACTCTATTCAGTGGCCTAATTATTTTTTTTTTGTGACATGACTCATATACTCCAGTGACTAATAGTTCGCTGTTGGTGATCTGTAGCCTATGCCTTAGATCACTATACTAACACTACAAATGAGAATAGCAGCTTTTAACATGCAGGGAAGCATGTTGGCTATATGGCTGATGTTTTTCAGTATGTGATTTTGTAAGAATAGTGTAGGGCTTTTTAACTTATTTCAAGACATTATTGCTTATAGTTAGTCAGCTTATCAAGTAAAATGTGAAATTACTTTACTGGCACTCTGCTAAAAATAATATCTTGGCAATGTTGTAGGCAATTTAGCTATTATGTCTCAATATTAAATTGTGGAGTATTGATTATTCACCCATTCCTATTTTTACTTATTTTGAGTAATTCCATGAAGTGAAATTATCTTACTGCACTGACAACTTTGTTTCAGGAAATAATGCTTGAAGGAAGCAAATTGATTGCTGGATTGGTCTTATAATAGAATTATAACCATCTCATATTGGGAAAAATCAAATACATTGCCTACATTTGACATATTTTCATTTTTTAGCACAAGTCAAAAAGGGAAACATTACGATGGTTTTAGGTCAAATCAATGTCACATCATTTGATCAACAGCCAGCAGATACTAAGACTGATGCCTGAGGCTAACAGAGTAAGACATTTGTGCTTGCCTTGACTTGGTTGCCATACAGCGGTCAAAAATAAGCACCCTGGAGTGCAGGCATGACTCTCCATTGTCATGACAACACCCTGCCCCATGTCCAATGGCATCGTGAGTTGTAAAGTGTCGACGTGATTTGTGATGGCCACATCTCGCAATCAGTCCACACACACACAGTGAGCTAGAGCCATGCCCGCTGGTTATCATTGAACTTAAAGCAGTAGAGTGGCATGATAAAATATTAATACCCAGCAAGTCCATTTCAGTAAATCTGTTATCATTTCATGTCATTTACTGGCATCTCTAATGATATGTCAGCTTCACGCTGTGTGTGGAGTAAGTTTGCCACTTGCCATAGCACGGCATAAATAGTGGTATGTGTTAACACACCCTGCATGTAGTATAACTGGTAGAAGTTTTACAACCTCAATTAAATAATTAAATAATTGATTTTTTCATATATAACATAACTGTTTATTACAGCCTCCATTATTCCATTTTTTCAAAGAAATCTGCAGGTATATTCTTCCTCCAAAGTTCAGTCTTAGAAGTTGCTTACATTTTCTGCTTCTCACAGTCCAAGTAATCCCAAACCAGTTTAAGTATTGTTTATCTAATGGGGACAGTTTTGGTGGTCAACCATGTTTTTGCACGGTTCTTAAGAGTCTCATTTTACTCTATATCCTTTAATACTTGCATCTAATGGTACTTTTTGGTTGGAAATTAAATAAATGAAGGCATTCATCACTCATATTCTGCACAGCAGTTTGGTTTGACCACACCAAGCACAACAAAATGTATAGAATTAATGGGTGAATTCAGAAACAGACTTTTGAGCATGGGTGCATGAAGAGCATATATTTTTCAGGTTTAAAGGTTAGGAACCCCCTACCTCCCTTCTGATGATGTGTGAGGAACTTTTGAGAAAGTGCAAGCACTTTCAGGTGGATACCTGAAGGCGAGCTGCTTGAAATGTTAGCTGGCTAATGCAGAAAGGAAACAGATAGCCAGTGGGACTGTTAGGAAGCTGAATATCACATCTGTGTTTATTAGCCTATACATGGCTCCATACCTCTATGATAGCATTCAGGATTTCTTGACCCCTTAAATGGCCAGGGCCCACCAGCAGGCCCAAAGCTTTTAAACACTTCTATAACCTAAGAATATCTTAGTCAGTTTGCACTGAAGTCCCTGTAGTTACTGAATAATAAC